GTGTGGGGTTGGACTATTGTTGGCAGATTGCTCGGGGTCAATGGCTTCACTGCTGTTGCACATGTTTCCAAATATAAGTATCGTGTATAATGATTGATTGATTCCCAATGAGAGCATTCAGGATGTTTATGGTTGTTTCAGGTGTAAGTTGAGACGCTTGTCATTTAACCTCAAGTGTTATCTTTTCGGGAATTACAACAGTAGGCCACCGGAATTTGGGCCAAGATGAAACAATCAATAAATTGATCAATTGTGTTCAGCCTGAAGGCGGTTCAAAGTGTGAGGAAGTTCCAATCATGACGGCCGATGATGAATCTGCGGTCAACCCTATTGACTGTTATCAATTATTAACAAGCATCACTACGGTTAGGTCAAAGTGTTCGACACATTCAACTATTCTGGTCTGTAAACTATACCTGCACTCTGACTTTGCTTCAACATGGCTTTCGGCAATGTTGTATATAAGCAAGAGAAATCCACTCAGTCAAGCCCTACTAGCACTAGCACAAGGTCTAGTGGGGAATTTTACTGTGCTTCGCTGGGTGCTATACGTATTCCGGATAAGTGCCATCGGGCGTATTAACAGAAGTTATAGAAAAGGCTTTACTGTTTGATGCTCAAATAAAACAACATAACTAGCGCTTTGAAGTTGTCTTTGGCCACCTGTTCATAACTTAAACCCTGGATATAATTCATCACGACCTGTTGAGCACACTTTACCTCGTGTAAAATTTATGACCATAGACTAAGTTGCAGCTGAGAAAAGTAAGATCCTGCTCATAACCAGCAAGACAACTCCCTTGGCTTGCAACGTGGAGGGAGTGCCATAAACCAATGCTGCGAGACATAAAAGTATCAAGCCCGAGCTATAAAAATGTCATCACTATCGCCTAAGCGAATAAGAAACACTAAATTCAAGAGTTTTTACTGAGATATAGTTACGTGCTGCAAACTAGAAACGGTTGCCGATCGTGGCGCTCATGCTCTTACCAGGAAGGTCTTTCAGGGCGTGCCAAGCTTTTTGAAAACGGTCTTTTGCATGATATAGGGGCACATGCGGGAACCACAGAACCATGGTTAATTTTTCCTGAACGGCCCTCTGAATACCAGAAAAGGGGGTCCCTAGTTCGATTCCTCGTGGTGACAAATTTTTGCAATTCGTGCAATGGTTAGAATGAATAATAAGACCATATTGAAAAAACTGGTGAAAAGGTGTGACACCACAGTGGGGCTGCTTGGTGTCACACCTCTTACACCAATTTTTAAGTCAAAGTCTTTTTGTACGGACTAATCATGAATATGGTACTAATTATTCATGCTAACTCCATTTTGCGCGAATTTTGGAACGTCAACTCGAAATGCAAAAATTTGTCACCACGAGGAATCGAACTAGGGACCCCTTTTCTGGTATTCAGAGGGCCGTTCAGGAAAAATTAACCATGGTTCTGTGGTTCCCGCATCTGCCCCTATATCATGCAAAAGACCGTTTTCAAAAAGCTTGTCACGCCCTGAAAGACCTTCCTGGTTAGGGGAACATTCAAAAAGGTTCGATGGTAGGTGACACTAGGGCTAAGTCTAGGAGCGGGGAGAAGTGCCAGGGAGC